TCAAATAAATATATACATACATACATACATACTGTTCCTGTACACCAATAATAAACTCACCAAAAAAGAAATTAGGAAAGCAATACTATTCACAATAGCATCAAGAAAAATCTAGTACTTAACCTTAACAAAGAAGTGAAAGACCTCTTTAATGAAACCTACAGTACTCTGAGAAAGGAGATGAAAAACGTAAGAAAATGGAAAGAGGGCTGGGCATTTAGCTCAGTGGTTTCACCGCCTGCCTCGCAAGCATAAGGACCTGAGTGAGTTCAATCCCCAGTACCAAAAAAAGAAAATGGAAAGATATTCCTTGTTCCTGGATAGGCAAAACCAATATTGTCAAAGTGGTCATAGTCTCAAACTGTTATACGGATTTAATACAATACCAATCTAAGTACCAATAGCATTCCTTACAGAGAAAACAATCCTAAAATTCATATGGAACCAGAAGGGTCATAGACAGCAAAACCAATCCTGCGCAACAAGAAGTAAGGAATTGAGCCATCAATCCCAGACTTCAAGTTATACTACAAAGTCACAGTGATAAAAACAGCATGGTATTATTGGCAAATAAAGAGACGTGTGTGGCTCAGTCAGGCAAAATAGAGGATGCAGAAACAACTTCAGGCATATTCAGCTACCTAGTATTTGACAAAGGGACGAAAAACATGCTTTGGAGGAAAGACAGCCTCTTTAATGATGCTAGGAAAACTAGGTATCCATATATAGAAGCTTGCATATAAACCCATATGTCTCACCATGTACTAAACTAAAATCAAATGCATCAAAGATCTAAATGCTAAAACAGAAGCACTTAATCTGCTAGATGATAAAACAGGTAAAACTTTTTTGGTGGGGTGCAGGAATGAACTCAGGACCCTGCACTTTCCAGGCAGGTGCTGCACCACTGAGCTCCATCCTTGGCCCTTAAAACTCTTGAAGACAGAGGTGTATCCAAGCACTTTCTGAACAGAACCCCAACTGTAAAAGAAAGAATACCAAGAATCAACCAATGGGATTGCATCAGATTAAAAAGCTTCTTCCTAGCAAAGGAAGCCACCAACAGAGTGAAGAAACAACCTACAGAATAGGAGGAAAAATTGCCAGCTATTCCTTGGACAAAGGACTGACATCTAGAATACCAAAAAATGGGCAACTGAAAGGAACAGACACTTCTCTGAAGAAGTACAAATGGCCAACAAATACTGTATACAAAAATATGTTCAAACATCTCTGGCCATTAGAGAAATGCAAATTAAAGCAATACCAAGATTTCGTATTACTCCAGAAAGAATGGCTATCGTCAAGAAATTAAGTAGCAGCAGCATGTGGTGGTGCACGCCAGTAATACCAGCACTTGGGAGGCTAAGGTTGGAGTCTAAGGAAAGTCTGGACTACATACTGAATTCAACACCAGCCTGAAGTACCTACTGAGACCATGCCCCCACAAAAAAGAAAGAAAATGAAATAGTAATAACAAATGCTGGTGAGGCTGCACGGAAAATGTTATGAAAATCAGTATACTCTTCAAAACATTAATATTAGAAATTCCATTCAGGGCTGGGGATTTAGCTCAGTGGTTCTGCCGCCTGCTTCATAATAAGCGCAAGGAGTTTGATCCCTGGTACCAAAAAAAAAAGAAATTCCATTCAGCTCAGGTATTACCCTTTTAGTTATCTTCTCAAAAGAGTTAAAGACATCATACTACAGGGATACATGCATACTCATGTTTACGCAGCACAATTTGTAACAGCCAAATCTTGGAAGTGGCCTATGGATAAAGAAAGTATGGCATTTGTACACAATGGAGCACTACTCTGCAAGAAAAAGGATAAACAAATCATTTGTAGGAAAATGGACATACCTTGAGACAATAATGTTAAGTGAAATAAATCAGATACACAGGCTTAAGTATCACATGGTTTCTCTTATATGAGAAACCCAGAGGAAAATACAAGGTAGATAGCAGGAAATAGGGAGACAGATCTTTTCAAATGGGAAGAGGATTAAGAGAGAGTGGGGAGGGAAGGGAATGAAAAAATAATTAAGATGTGTTATGTACATGTACCAACTCCCCATGAGGATTATGATCATTATGTACTACAAAGACGTGTTAATAAAAAATAAAAACTGGCCGGGGATTTAGCCCAGTGGGGTTCCACTGCCTACCTCATAAGCACAAGGACCCCAGTACCAACAAATAAATAAATAAATAAATAAATGCATACATACATACATACATACGTACTGATTACAAAAAAGCCTGTCCTCTTTTCTTTTTATCCTCATCACAATCAATCACCAGGTCCTGTCAATCTCACTTTCAGAATCTACCCAGTGCTCTTCACAGGCGCGAGCCTCCATGTTCTACCCTCTTGCTTCTTAGTCTTTGCCCATTCACCTTGATGGCACAGGTCTAAATTTAAACCATGTCCATACCCAAGACTGTGGGTTCTTCCATGGTCTACAAGCCAGATCAGAGGCCCCTTTAATTAATGCCCAATGGACCCTATGTTTCCTCTGATAGAAACACATTATATTTGTGATTTTGTTTCATCATCTGTCTTCCCTAGTAGACAGTAAGATCCTTGCCAACAGCACACTTGTTGCAGAGTCCAGCCACTGACACAATGGAGAGCTATGGATAAAAGTGCAGGCATCATACTTCAGTTCATAGAATCTTCCCTTCCTGTCAATGCCTAAAGCATATTCCGCTGCTTCAAGGAACATCTGACCACGTAGTGCCCCTCACCCCAGGATAAGCAGGTACTCCCATGGCACACAGGAAATGTCCTTGAAAGTAAGGAACATCCTTTCCTTGGAAATTACATGGAATTGAGAATCCTCTAGACCTATTTGTGTGGGAGAAAAGAGGCTACCTTCTCAGCAGTGGTCAAGGGGTACAATGTTAGGAATGAGATGAAAAAGAAGTATGACAAAAGTGTACACAGAGAGAAACCTGTAGCATTTAGCAGCTCCTATTGAATCTGGTAACTTCCCAACCAAAGGGCTGATGGATTCTTCCAGATCTTCTAACCATGGCCAGGCTGCAGGTGTCTTGAAGGAGACTGCAATCAATAAGCTTCCAGGTGCTTCTGAACTTCAGGATTCTATCAATAAAGTTATTCTGAGCTACAATGTGAGGGATTTGCTGCTGTCTTTACATAGCAGTTCCTCAGGAGGCAAAATAATCTTTACCGTCTACTATCTCCCCCTCAGCTGTAGGCTATTGCTTATCCAAGATGCTTGGGACCAGAAATATTTCAGATCTGAGAGTTTTTCCTGATTTTGGAATATTAGCACAGACCAGTCAATGATAGCAAACCTTTTAGAGCTCTCAATGATAACAAACAGCCTGCTGTGGTATGATATAGGGTTGCCACCACTGGCATAGACCTTACCAGCTGAGCAAGATAAATCCAAGAACTCCAAATCTGAAAATCTTTTTAAGTGCCAACATAATGCTCCCAATGTTTTGGATTTCAGAGAATTTCAGGTTGAGGGATAGTCAATCTATAGTATAAATGTCAGAGCCAGAAATGGTGGTGCACACCTGACTCCCAGCATTTTGGGGGGCTGAGGCAAGAGGATCACAAGTTTGAGCCCAGCCTAAGCAACTCAGTGAGACCCTGTCTCAAAATAAAAAGAGGAGTCTGGGATACAGCTCAGTGGTAAGGCCCTAGGTTTGATTTCTAGACTACCCCTACTGAAGTCATCACTCCAACCCCAGAGTTTGGCCATTATGTCCCATGGACCACAACCACTAAAATAACTTAGCAAGAGGTTTGACTTGACAGACGAGACCACCACACAAAGACAGCAAAGATTATGAAACCTGGCCACCCTGGGGTGTCAACATGACTCTCTATACTCCTAGCAACGTGACTGGGCAGTGATTTTACTTCTTTGAGTCTCAATTATCTTCATCTGCAAAATGGTGATGATGGTCTACCTCTATTACTGAGATATGCATGTGAAGCTTCCAACACAAAGTAAACATCCAAGGAATGTCAATATTATCACAATCATAGATTTCTAGTAGGATAATGATTCTATGGTGAAAATATTATAGAGATGAAATGATGTTTTGAATTTGCTTCAAAATAATCCAAGGGATGAGGAAGAAAGTATAGAGGAAATAAAATTACAAATACACTGGATTTATTACTACACTTCTCTACTTTTGAACCCTTAAATTTTTTCCCTAATGAAAAGTTCAAAAGGGTAAGCACTGAGGGAGAGGAATACTGTAAAAATATAAATACTGATCATTTATTTTAAGAATATATTTGGTCTCAGTGTTGAGCAGAGGAAAAATGATATAAAGAGAAAAAAAGTCCCTTCTCCAACAGAAAATATTTTCTTCAGATAAAACTGTCTCAGATGAGCCACTTGTGCACATTTGTCTCCATTTTTGGGAAAAGAACATGTCCTACTTAGGCAGTACATGCATTTTTAAGTAGAGAAGCTTTGGTGACAAACCTGGCTCTTAGCACTCCAGAGTCCTGGCTCAAACTGAGCCATGGAGCAAGAAAGTTCCCAGGTTAGGAAAAGAGCAGAATGGACTCAAAATGTGTGGAGACGGTGGGCATCACCAGCTTCCTCTCTTCTAGAACCGTTTTAGACTCTCACTTAAGGCTTCTTTGGGAAGCTGCTCTGCTCTCTCTGAGACTATATTAAGTATTTTCATGCCAGAGGAGTGGTCTAATCAGAGCATTGCTAATGTGTTAGATGGCGCTTCCGGGGAAAGGGAACTTGTAAGAGGCTCTAATCATACTGACCACAGCAGATCCCTGCATCATCTCTCCTCTTCCACATCTTCCTACTTAGAGAAGGCTGGAAAATGAATAATAAAATTCTTCTCACATTTCACTGTGAATCAATCAACCCACTCCAAGCCCCTGTATCTGACAGAAAATGTCCAGCAAGTTTTGTTTTAAGCAGATGCCTTCAAGGTCCCAAAATCTGTCTAGACAAGGAGAATAAACAAAAGTACTTACTCTTCTTGAAGAATGAATTCACTATTTTCTGGAGAAAACTGCCTGGTCACAGGATGCCTGAATGCTGTGGTCTGCCGGTTATGACTATAGAGGCAGAGAAAAGATAAATGAGAAGTCATGTGAATGGAAAGGATTACAGTCATAACAATGGGTCAGAAATGTCTGGGGACCCTTAGTCATCACAAATTCCTCACAAGCTGAGAAAAGTGGGCCTTTCTTCTGGGATGCACGTATTCTATTGGAAGCCAGTTAAATTGGAAAACTAAGAATTTCCAGCTCAGGTGTCACAATTCACCTAAAAGCAGAGATTTTAATTTTAAGGAAGTCTTGGCTTCAAGAGAATACAGTATCTTAGAAAACATTTCATGAAGTACTGTTATGTACTCCAATGCACTGAGGTGTTATCTAAAAATTACTTTAATAGAACACGAGCTGAAATAAGAACGAATAAAAGCAGAGGACACTTTTAAAAGCTTCCATAACTTTCTAAGAATTAATCACCCACCCAGCAAATTCTATCTTCTTAAAATCCTTCCCCCTACTATAAAATATCTTCAGTTCAATGATGGAATCATAAACATACAGGCACGTCTCTGCAATGTGAGCCACACAATTTCAACACCATGGGGTTTCTATCACCCTCTTGAAATTTGGAGGCATCAGCTTCCATAGCAAGCTGACAGGAACAAGCCAAGTGTGTAGGTGTTTTGTATGTTGACAAAAGCTGCCTGGTTTTTTCAAAAGATAGAGGAGCTGGCTCTGGAGGCTGCTGGTTTGTTCCACGAATCAACTTTACTAACCTACTTTTAAAAAATAAGAACCTGGTCCGGGGACTTAGCTCAGTGGTTCCGCTGCCTGCCTTGCAAGCACAGGGACCTGAGTTCAATCCCTGGCACCAAAATAAATAAATAAAAATAATAAAATAAGAACCTGATTTAGTGAAAAAAATTTACTCGTCAAAAAATCATAGTTGCTTTCAAAATTTTATAAAATCTGAAAATGTCACCTATAATATGATCCTCTGGAGATATACTTACTCGGGTATTGCCTCCCCATCCCCTACCCCACACCCTGCCTTTCTATACGATTCCAGCTCCTTGGGAAGCTGAGACAGAAGGATTGAAAGCTGGAGGCCATCGTGGGCAACTTAGTGACATCTTGTCTCAAACGGCCACACCACCCTGAATGCGCCCGATCTTGTCAAATAGTAAAAAGTGCTGGGATGTACCTCAGCGAAGGACCCTGGGTTTGATCCTAGTACCACTAAAAAAACAGGTTATTTTACCATATATAAAAATACTTTGCTCCCCCCCATTTTATCAATATAGAAAATATCCTATATCATTAATACTTCTTCATTTGAAATAGCTAAGTAATCCTATCATGTAAATGTAAATCTTTCTTCTATATAACTTTAAAAAGTGTCACAAGCACTCATGTGCCCAGTTACTACTGTAGGTGCTGGAAACAAACAAAAAAATCCTTACTCTGTGATGCTGACATTTTAGATGTACACGCTTCCAATGCCAGGTGTTTTGGGTGCTCAATCACCACTATCACATCCAATACACCTTTGTGCACAGACTTTTTTCTGCAATTCAAATTACTGCCTTAAAGTCCCAGAGGTGAAATTACTAAATCAAAGGGCATGGTTATGCTTTAAAACTCTTAATACAGGGAGCTAAAATACTTCCACTGTCAGAGATCATCTGAGTTTAGTGATGTTAAGATATTAGCTTCATCTCCAAATTCACTGCTAAGCCTCCCTGGAGAGTATGTCCGAGCCAGCACAAGACAACAAATGAAATAGAAAAACTCTCAAGGCCTGTATAGTTTTCCCGACTCTGCCCCAGTGCACCATGCCTACTACCCATCCCAATCACAGCGAGTTCTCAACTCCTGGTTCCTGCTCCTGGTGAGTCTGTGGAATCCTTTAACCACATCTGGCAGGCAGCAGCTTGATCCTCTGCTCAAAAAGAGCAGAGTTTAGGTGTGAGCTTCTGCAAGAAGGACAGAAATAACACCTGTTTCAGAAATTCTTGCATTGCATTCAAAGACTTTATTTGTACCCAGCTTCTTCTAGAGAGTCATCTGCACTCACCAGAAAAAAATCAAGATGCTAATTCTAATCTAAGCCTGCCTCATTTCCACCTGGAGGGGAAAATATGCAAACTCACAATGTCAACAACAATAAAGCAGTAACACTGCCTACTATTACCACTAAAGGTAAGCATTTTCTTACACATTACCCTATTTTATGAATGAAGAAACTGGGTTCAGAGAAGTGACATGTACAAGATAACTTCTTCGTTAAGACTGGCACATGAATCCAGGTCCTCTATTTAAATTCTATGCTTTTTGCATGATAACCTGCTCTGCCCTCCCCTTAGGAATCTGAGGCTAACAAATTCCTGACCCTCACCAGAAAGCACTAAAGAAAAAGAATCAGAAAAATAGCACCACCTCCTTCCAGGCCCCCTGCTCTCTCCCTAACTCTATTTCCTCTTGTGTCCAGGCCCCAAGTTCTGAGTAACAATATTTGTGTGGCACTCGATAGACCCTTATACCATTTTTCGTACCACAAGATCAACTGGTGGATTTCTGGTAAGTGAGAGCACAAAGTACACCTTTCCTATGTCCCTGAAGCAGGTACAACAGCCAGTAGCTAGCTGCCTTTTCATACACACTACACAATCTTAACAATCCTTGGGCTTCACATCCAAAGGGTGTACCAATTTAAATGAGTCCAAAGTCTTGGCTAAAAGAATCCTGAGCTTCAAGGTGTAAGCTTTAAGCATAAACTAAACTTTGTATCCTAACATTAAAAGGAAGATTTTTTTTTTTTTTAACAGGGTATTGCTATGTAGTTCAGGCCTCACTGTGTAGCCCAGGCTGGCCTCACACTTGCAGCGATTCTCCAGCCTCAGCCTCCCAAATGCTGAGATTACAGTTGTGTGCCACCATGCCCACCTAGTATTTTTTTTTTTTTTTTTTTTTTTTTTTTTTTTTTGTCTACGG